TCATAATTACAAGGAAAGAGAGAAAAGAACAAACATTTGTATTTCGGCTGATGACAGCTGACGAGCGTAACTTTTGACAAAAGAAAAAATGCCACTTCTCTTTCCTTCTTCTTTCGATTCTAATCGATGACCATTTCTGCATCGAGTACATTAACTTCAAAGAAAAAACAAGCGAGGAGTGAAAAACAAATTAGCATGAATAATAAGAAGAAGATAATGCTTGTAAATGTATGAGTTGACAAGAAAAAAAAGATGAAAAAGGCCTATTAGTAGTAGAAAGTCGGCATTGAAAATATTTGGCAAGATGATTAATTGAGATGTTATGGTCATATTAGTCTTTCTTAACTTTTGAACATTTCATAGATGAATTTCATTGAAAGAAGTGTTCCGTTCATTAACTGATACGCTGTTCATTCATTACGGTATATTTAGATGCGTACTTATTAATAATTATTTTATAATGAATTGCTTGAAGATATATTTCCGACACTTACATATGCAATATATTGCATCTTACTATTATCTGTACAAGCATATAGCGAAATTGTACACTATCAAGTCATTCCATCAAATGTAAACAATACGTTTTCATTCCTAAGACAGTAGAAATCATCTGTTTTGAAGTTAAGATTTGAAATATACGATATAGCACTCTCTAGGACACAGTATACTTCTATGCCTTATTTATAAAGAATTGTAATGAACAAATTCATTTTGAACAATTCTATTCAAAAGCTTTATAAGACAAATACTTATTTTCCATGTCAGTTCTCAGTACGAATATTCTATTTGTATTCTTAACATATATATATATATAGATATTTACTCTGATCATTTCTGTTGTTTTTATTTTAAATGATGATCAGTATATTCGATATTCAACTCGACCACAATGCATTTGATATTTCATATATATATATATAAGAGACTTTTAAAACTCAGAAAAATATCATTATATTAACAAAGGAAGTTGCAGGAATGAATAACCGTTTTTGAGTCGAGACTGTGTTTATCATTTAGATCGTTATGAACTATGAATATTCTCAGAAAAGTTCGGATTCTTTAGTTTATTAATGAGAACATGCTATATTGTTATAATTCTTTTTCAATGAGTGTCAGTGCTTGGCAAGTATGGGTTTTCTCAAATACGAGTACAAGTGCGAGTACCACAAAAATCGTACTCGAGGATGAGTACCTACTTGTAGTTGCACAGCTCTTATGGATGTCGTAACCTTCCTCTGAAATAACAGGATAATTGATTTGTGAATTTCAACTTGAAACTTTGCACAGAGATCAGCATTGATGATAATATTGTTTGTATTTGTCGGCAGATTCAATATTCTTAACTCAGGACAGGAGTAAATAGAAAGACCTGAAACTTTCACCATTAACTTGCCTTGCTAAGAACTTTCTGCGTACAAAGTTTCAAATCTAAAGTCAGAAGCAGCGTAAAAATGTAATATCTTCGCAGTAATAAACCAGTGGTTCGAAGACTACAGGGTTTACATGATGCATATAGTCTCGATTCAAAAATGATTAATCATTTGGAAGACTTCTCTCATAAGCAAAGACAAAAATAATTTGTTAGATAGTAAGAGATGCCTCTAAATGGAACAGAAGGCTCATTGTATAGTCTTGATGTGCAGATTGTCTTCAGTGTTCATTTTTATTTTTTATTCTTCGATATCATTATTTTAATTTTCTTCATAAAAGTTTTATACTCTTTAATGCATTTAATTTATATGAAGTACATATTCGGAAACAACTTTCTATTGCGCTTATAACAATAATGAATACATCTTTCCTTCACTTTGAAAGACATAATAAAAATTCAGGATGCCAAATTTAAGTTATGTTAGTCGAGACCTAATAGCTTATTCCTATTTTATTCAAGTATTGTTATGTTTAATTTTCAGTGTATTATAAAAATATTGATTTTTATTAAACTATATATGTAATGACGTTTTGATTGTTTGTCAAACATTTGCTTTTCTATCGTCTTACCACTTCATTGTATTCTTAATAATGCTATTATATTTCATCCACATAAATTATATCTAATATCAATCAAATAAATACTTCATTCATGTTATTTTTTCAATTTGTAATTATTTATACAACAGTCTATCGATAATTTGTTCGTTTTACTTTAAAAATTCGACGATTAATATATGCAATTAGATGTAACATTGCTTTGACTAGAAATATTTTTATTACGTTTACGACTTATTTACTTGATGGAACTGCTGTTCTTATCTATAATCTAATGTGTAATAGAGATAGGACAGTACTAAATATTTTCTACATGGTTTGTTACGACAACTTCACTGATATCGATATTAATCGAAAAAGTTTTAATTATTCTTAGGAATAAAAAATCTCTAAAGTTTTGAGAAACACATTGAATGGGATATGATTCTTTTATATAGCAAACCATACAAACATTGAATAATCTTCAATATCGAATATAGTTACTATTAAAAGAATTCGCATAAGTTTTCTTATAAGTACAACTTAACATGAATAAATATGCAAGATAAAGAATCAAGAGCTTGTGTTAACTACTAAAAAAATTAAGAATGGTTATCTAAACGAAACTTAGAAATATCTCTTTGTCGATTGTTTATATGAAAACATGCTTTTCGTATTTGAAACTTTTATTTATTGTCTATTGAGATCTAAATATAAATCGGGTGTGTATATCTATTAAATCATTGATACATCGAAGTGCTTTTTTGATTATAGAGAAAGAATGAAGTTGTCTATGGCTATATGTATAGATTATACAATAAAAATAGAAAAAGAAAAAGACTGTTTTGAAATTCTATAAAAATAATGTAAGTTATAATCGAATTCATTTCAATAACTTGATACTATTTCATTTATAAATTCAATAACTTGAAAAAAGGCAATGTTTTTTTTGTTATAATTGATGTAAATATTCGTAAGCCTTGAATTTCTTTTTTCTTCTATTTCATTGAATGGATCAATTATTCTATGACATTATACAAAAAAAACTCGTTTAAACATATGACATTTCGAATGTTAATCTTAAAGAATATTTTGTAAAATATTCTCGTATCAAAATAAATAAACTTATTATCACTCAAATTTAATCATTTTCTTTATTTTAAATAAATGATAAATATTCATGAATACGAACATATGTTACGCAAGGTCAATATTTTATTTCGTTTTTCTTCTTTTATCTTTGCAAGATCAATAGGACACATAAGAAAAAAGACGGTAGAACTAATATAAACGTTGACATTACTTTCACTGTCTATATCGAAGACAGAAACTCAAATGAACAAATTTTTTCACATCATAAATACATGTAAAATAAGAATTTATCTGTTATTTTTCTTTCTTTCTTAATAACGATTTATATCAAATAAACGTACACCAAAAAAGATGGGAAATTTTGGTATTACAGCAAGAAGCATTGTTGCCATGTTAATTATAAAATGTGTTTTGTCATATTTTGTATAAAAACTAGCGATGAAAAATCTAATTAAACAAAGAAAACTTAATTTAAGCAAGTTTTTACATATAACTAAAACTTACAAAACAATGGGAACAATTTGAAGAAATTTTCGTGTGCCTGTCCATTGAACACCATTATCAATTTGTTCCCAAAATGTAAAACGACGTGCTAAACCTTGATCACTTGTTTCCCATGGAGCGCCTTTGATCAAATGAAATAAATAAAAACTACACTAGAAAAAATAAAATAAATCATTTCAGTAGCAAGAAAACAAACTTTGATTTCTTTTTTTTAAACATACTATATTATGAATAGTTGTTGTTAAAGTCCATGCTACAGGTGTTGTTATATAAGGTATACTAAGTAAAATAAAATGAAGAACAAAGACAAGAATTATATATGTAAGCCAAACACCACGACTATTTAGCCATGAACTATTTGGATTCCGTTCACCTTGTGCTATACCAACGTTCATATTTATGCTTTATTATATCTATATATTCAATATGATAAATAACGTCTATATATAAAAACAAAACAATAGATTTGCTTACTATTTCCTATAAAATCAGTCAATATATATGGATCTACAACAAACAAACAAGGGCAGAGTCTATCGTTATTATTATTTTCTTTTATAATGAATTTTCTTTCGTCGACATATCTGTTCCGCCTACAGAAAACGCAGTTTATATATAATCGAATCAAGAGCGAACGAACGCAAGACAAGAACAATCTTTTCAGTCAGCTGTAAATATCTGTTAAATGAAAGCAAGGTCTATTATAATGACCTTGAAATGTCGACTTGTAGAATTCAACATTAAAAAAAAATTATTCTATTATTTATTCATAGAGTTCTATAATAGAAAGAGAATAATTACTAGATATAAACGGCAAAAAAAATCTAATGACTCACAATATTAGAAAGGTAAGATGAGCCACTTAGATAATCCTATATGATACAACTAGATGGCGTCCGTTGACGCAACAAACTATCTATCATAAAGAAGTCAGTACGAGAGTACACTGTTTCATTTTCTTAGCTTATCGATGCTCGTCTTCTAGAATTCTATTACAAAAACAAAAGTTTTATAATTTTCTCTACTTATGGCAAATATTAAGGGCGATACTTATTAAAATGTTTATTATAAATAGAAGTTCATCACTTCTAATTATTCCAATATGCATATTTTAACATTCCAACTGTGGATATAACACTAACGTTCTTGACTTTATTTAGGCGCATAATTATATATGTATATATATATATATATATTCTTCTTTAGCAATAAGAGAAATCATTTAAAAGACAATATGTCAAATTTATTACAAAGCAAAATTTTTTAAAACATTGTATAGCTGCAATACATTGATACCCTTACTTATATTTTCATAAATATAAATGAAAATCAATCCATTATGAATGACAATAGAAAACTATGTGGAAGTCAATGGTTACTTTTTATTATCGCTTGGAATATTCAAATATCGAGCAACAAAATGTTCTTTAAATTTAGCCTGTTCGATTGCGATTTTGTTTACGAACACGATTATGATTACGATTGCGATTACGATTACGATTACGATTGCGATTACGATTGCGATTACGACGTATTGGTCTTGAACCACATAATAGATTACCACAAAATCGTCCACATGTTACATCTGCATTAGGTAGTTGACAATCTTCGGGAAATTTAAGAAAACTGCAAATAGGTTGAAAACACACAGCTACAAAAAAAGAACAAAAGCAATAAAATAAATCATTCAATGGGTTCCCTATACAAAAGAAGCTTACAATTCAATAGAGCTGTTGCTTCGACATTGCAACTAAAAATTACATAGAAAAGAATCATAAATAGTCCATTAGAAACAAAAGTAAACATACAAAGGTGTATCACAAAAAATCCAAACAGAATTTCTTTCAAGTATAAGAAGATTTGGTTCTTGTGGATTCATAAAACCAAACTCCCATGAACAACCTCGCGACAGTGTATTTCTATCATCACGATTTATACGTGTATAACATTGTCCATTGCATGGTGTTGCATCTACTTTAAGTGTAGCATTAACATCAATACGGCATGATGGATTTCTCGAATTGCATTGATAACAATAACCAGCTGATGCTGAAACTTAATAAACAGAAAAAACAAATAAAATAAATTCTAATCAACTATTTAAAATAATTTACTTTTATCAATAAATATTGAAAAGAATAGGATGGAAGTAATGACGAAAAATTCAGCAAGATTTGTTGTTATGATTGTTAAATACATTTTCTAAAAGAAGAAGATCATTATTGAACGACGAATAGAAAATAAAATAAATGACGAGACGTTTAGATAGCCCTGATATTTAAATATTACACTTGTTAACGCCTCCATTTTACATATTTGTTGATGAGAACAGTGTGGGAAGCAGAGATAAAGAAGAGAGGATTAATCGGTCTATATTAGCTATTCATTGAAATTTGATTCAAACTTAACAACAGTGGCAATACCGTCTTACGAAAACAGTAATTAACTTTTGACTCCAAGTATCTTTTTTATTTGTCCTAGTACTTTTTTTATACTAAAAAATAAAAGCTGAAAATTTGTTCGTAAGAATCAGATTTCATTTTTCAAATAAGCGTTAACGAACTTGGTTTTTGAAATAGAAAATCATGATTTTTATATTTTATACTTCAGTATTAAAGCCATTGATACTAGGATTTAAGTTCAACAAAACAGAAAACAAAAGAATAAAGCTATTCATTACACAAAAATCAGCGAACAATGTGATATTTTATATTCGAGTTTAATAGATGAAAAGAAATAAATGTTTTTAGTAAACTTTAATAAATAGACGAGAATTAATTGTGAAGCTTCCCTTTGAAATTACTTGAAATATCGGATAGTCTTTTCTAATTATTCACGAGTTTCTAACAAGGAAATTGTCCTAGGTGATTCAAAGCTTTTGCGCTGATATACTTTCCATAAGTAGAATCCAGTAAGACTAGATAAAAGCCCATTGATCTTTCTTCTCGAGTGATGAGCACTTTACTAAGTTTTTCACTTATAAAAAAAAAAAAGATTAACCGAAAACGCATTGTATTAAATTTCGGTATGAAGTTTTTCCCACACATAGATCTTATGACTCTTACAGTAACCGAAATCTCACAAACACGACGAATGCTTCTTTTTCAACATGGTAGCTTTTCAAGAGATACTTTCATGATATCATATGTAAAGAAAATCAAATTTTTCTGAAGACTCACTATCTCGACAGAGAACCATTCGTTTTGACTATGGAATTTAGTTTGTTGCAAGGATTATGAGATTTATGGGTGGGAAAAATTTTAGATCGAAATCCTGAATTTTAAGTTTTCGGTAAATCTTTTGCAATAAGTAATAAACTTAGTAAAATGTTCATAATGCTAAAAGAAAGACCGTTAGACCTTTATCTAATATGCGCGTCAGAGTCAAAGAGGATCGAGTGTAATTTTAATAACTTGACAGTAGCAACAACTGACCATTTGCTGTTTTCAACAATTGAACGAGGAAGACTCTGGACATCTTTTTGTCTAACATTATATAAGATACAATTATTTAAAATCCATCATCTTTTGCAAAAAATTCACAGAGAGCATGAGAAAGATGTTTCGTTTCAAGGAAATTTTGATACAAACTTATACGAAACGGAACACCATTTTCATTCATTTTTGTGCGTGTTTTGCGAAGATGATAGATTTTAGAATTATTTTATTTTATATAGTTTCAAATAAACAAATTTCTGGCGTTGTTCTCTTTCGATTTCTAAAAGTTGCAGGTTGTTCAGTGTTGTCGTTGTCAAGTTATTGAGCTTACACTCATCTCTCTTTTAATTCTGGCGTCTAATTTTAATGGATCTTATTGAGGAAAACTAGATTATGGCAAAAGCTTTGAATCACTTGTATTGATTCTCTCATAGTTATACTTCTTCACAAACGTACCCAGTTATCTTACAATCGAAACAATGTAGAAAAAAAGAATAGGAAAATGAATTTCTTTATTGTACTTCACAATATTACACTAGTAGATTTAGTGGAGAAGAAGCCACTAGAGGGGATCGTCCCTTCCTCTCCAAATGGTTTTTGATTTTTCTTAACAAAAAATGTTTAAAAATGAACTGATACGATCTCTAATAAACTTTAAAACACGTTTAATGTTCATGAGCACTTCGTTTTTCACCTTTTTCAAAATCCACAAGACACAACCATGATATTGTACAAAATATATAATTTTTTTTGACCTAATTGCTATTATTCAGCTTACTAGGAAAATTCGAAATCGACTTCCTGTTCGTGTTAAAAACATGGTGAAATTGCGAATGACGATATTAAAGTAGAACAGTATTTAATTATGACTAAATATTAAATAGAAATATAGGTACCATCGATCATTGTCAAGTATTACGAAAATCGTGAAAATAAGGTTTACTCATTTAATGGTAAAATCTTTGTTTAGAGGACAGAAAGTCTCAATCAAAATACTTGTTGGTTATTTTCAATTGACATCATGCGACTATAATATTTACCATATTCTCACATATAATTCTTTGCTCTATATATTTTTCTTGAGATTAAATTTTATTCACTAATCTACTATAAATACTTTTCAAGAAAAAAAATTATTAGAATAGAAAATTGACTTGATTAAAAAGAGAAAGTTTACTATGCAAATATCATCTTTCACAGCACTAATGTATAACAATGAAATATTCTAGTATCGAATAAATCTTCGATAATTATATCAATTAATCTATTGAGACGTTGACTTTATAGTTATAACCATTGAATAAGGACTATGTTCACGTTCTTATCTCATGTATCAAAATCTTGATTTATCGATTGTCAGATTTTTTGTCCAACATTTTTCTTTCTAGTTCATTTCTTTTATGTACAATCCATATTAAAAAAAATGTTAACAGTTGTCTATATGATCTTATCATCTACCATCACAACCGTAACGATAGTTGCCTTCGGTAAAATGTGCTGTATATCTCTGACTCTTTCCGTCCGTTCGTTGTTTGTGTTGCTTTGATTCCGTATGGTGCTCGTTTATACATCGCTTCTATAAGACAGAACCTAGACTACCACCTACTATCATCAGCCGGATCACAATATTCAGAACATATGAAAAGGTCAATAGAATTCGTTAAGACGCATACGTATACAATAGAGATGCTACCACCGACGCATGCGATCATATCAAATTAATGTTATGCACATCGGGAGAGAAAAGAAAGCAAGTAATTGTGAAAAGAAAAAAAAAAAAGCAGAAAATCACGATGCTGTTGATGATGATGATGATGACGATGTTGAGAAGAGAAACAAATAATCATGTCGATCATTTGATTGCAATAGAATAAGACGGACAGATTACAAGATTAAGAAATATCTCGTTAATAAAACCAATGACAACATCAACATCAATTGGTACCTCTATTATCTATTCTACGGATGATATGGAAAAGTAAGAATGTTCAGGCTTCTTTGCATTTATTCATATTAAAATAGAGGTGTAACTCAACATTGAAGACAGGAGTACTGTATGGACAAGTGTCAAAAGTAGGAGGAGTATTGTATGAACGAATTTCAAAAGAGATGGAAGGAACTAAAATTTTGGTAGAATTTGCGTTATTGTCAGAATTCTAAAAGTGGTGGTTGAGAAGAAGAGAACGAAACCCATCATGAATCTAGTCCCTCCGACAACAAAGCATCTACCACCACGTTGTTTCTCCTCGTGGTCTGCCTTAATACTATCGTCATCGCATGCCATTGTGTAGAGAGGAAAACTTCCTAATCGAGCATCCTAATCACGTGCCACCTATAAAATCCATCTATATATAGAGAAATAATTTTCTCTTATCCAGCAATATAATTACATTGGTTAAACTTTAAATGTTATTCATAAATAGAAGGAAAGAAATAAAAGGCCGTAGATGTATGACATCTGCATAAGACGAAAATCGAATAAAATAATTGAAATATTATTTTGTATTTGAAATAAATTATAAAATAATAAGAAAAATAATTGAAAGATCAACTGAATAATAATGATGTAATTAAAATGACAAGAGGTATAATGAATATGTTCATGTTATTCAATGAAATTTCACTCAAAATGGCGTCATGACGACATATTGGTAAATGTTGGAATATTCTTGCTTGTCGATGACGATTAACTGGTATAATGATGGCGATGACTCTTCCGGTCGCTTGTTTTCTTGCACCATGATGTCGAATAATGTGTGCAAGATATCTTGGCTTCATCTATGAGTATTATTCTCCATATTTTTCTTATGTCTGACTAATGATATCATTATTTTTCCTAGTGATTCTTAAATAACTTAATTATTATTACTCATTCATAAAACGTTTATTATGAAAAATATTGATAAGGTTTTTTTTTGTCTGACAACATTTTTACTCAATAACATGAAAGTCTTTCAAAATGTGCCTAACTGAAAAAGAAAAAAGTATAGCTATTTCTTTCTTTTTTTTTCGTTGATTGTGTCTAGTAGTAGTCGTTTGTTCGTTCGTATTGATGACGATGATGATTGAATTGATTATTTGGTATTGTATTGGTGTAGTATGGCGTCGATTGGACCCACGTTAAGAAAGAAGGCGAAAAAGAACAAGGAAGAGGTCCTTTCCACAATCGATCTTCATCAAGTCTTTCGTTTTTTTTCTCGTCCCACTCTTTTCTTTCCCTCTCGCGTTCTGTTTGCCACTCCTTCTATCGATACCCCCAGAGAAACAAACAACAACAAGAAGAACAGTAGCAGCAGCATCAAAGTGCAGAAAAAAAAAGAAAAGAAATGCAAACATTTTGAATTTGTATCAGATTCATAACACAGTTGAAAATCTCATAATTAGACAGATTGTTATCAATTGACCAATTAGAAAAGAAAAAAAAGTAGAGGTACTATAATAAATGTAGAAACGACTTGTCAAGCGCAACAAATGAAACAATAGAAAAAGAGAGAAAGAAAAAAAACGAGCGACAAAAGACCTTCTTTTACTCGATTCTCTTGCTTTTCATAATAATTTTTTTCTCTCTGTTGCATTTTTCTCGCGCATGTGTGTACATAAGTATTCAACGAACGTGTGTGTGTGTCTGTCTATGTTGTTTTCTTCATTTTCTGTAATGGTGTTAGTGTTTTACACGCACCCTTTGGTGATAGGAATGATGGCATCACACACGTGCCTCTATCCTCTCACATTTAGCACAAATACATCTTCCGTTTTTTTTTT